TATCACTAGGGTGGTGAACTCCAATGAATCGGGGAGAAAGAATCTCGAGGTACTATTTTTCGTATGATATTTAACAATTTTAATTCTTTTGATAATAACTTTAATCGTATTAACATTTTGCTATTTAACTTGAATTTGAAGTTTTACGAATATATTTCACAGCAGTTGTGAAAATTTCAGAATAGGTAGGAGTGTCGCAAGATTTCTAATATGGAACTCTTTGTGGAGTTATGGGTACTGACTTTTGTTCAGGCTGAGCTACATGATGTGATGAAGAGTATAGAAAGTCAAGTGGCGGCGGAGAGCGCGGGTTCGATCCCTGCATGATGCATTTTTGGGATGAGTGCTGTCAGTGTTCAGTATCTGTTGAGTTGAGTCAGTCGAATAGTTAACATTGGGTCGTAGTTGCACCGTCTGTTGGTGAGCATCTATTGCTGCGGCATATACCGGGTACAGTCTGTACCGTACAGGTCCCATACAATGTACTCTTGTTGTTGTTGTTGTTGTTGTTGTATATGTTGTTGTTGTTGTATATGTTGTTGTTGTTGTTGTTGTTGTTGTTGTTGTTGTTGTTGTTGTTGTTGTTGTTGTATATGTTGTTGTTGTTGTATATGTTGTTGTTGTTGTTGTTGTACATATTGTATATGTTGTTGTATATGTTGTATATGTTGTTGTTGTTGTTGTTGCTGCTGTTGTTGTTGTTGTTGTTGTTGTTGTTGTTGTATATGTTGTTGTTGTTGAGCTACCAGAAGGAGATAGAACTGTAGTGATCAAAGATAGTTGAACTGGGGTATTTAGTTCCTCCCCTATTGAATTCGATTTCTTTTTCTTCTCAACTTGGCATCATCACGGTGATAATATATTGCAGTTATATGACGTGTGTGGTATGAATAAACAACATCCTGGTATGACTCGGAGGCGCCAATAGTTGAGTATTCGACGATGTGAGTGAGTGGTCCGCAGATTAGTATTGGACGCGATGTTCGAGAATCACACTCTCGATAATCAGCATTTGAGATATCATAAATATCTCGTCTCGAATGGTAGGGAGTTTATGAAAGGCTTATTGGCTTGTTGTTTTCAATTCCTAATGTGGGTAAGACGTTGGTCACCAGTCTTCTGAGATGAAATCTTGGAACCTCTCCTAGGCTCGTCCAGTGTCTTAGTACACATTTTGCTGCTTATGTGTGTGTGTTTGAGTTTAAAGTCCAACGCCTACGACAACACGGCTCAGTTGGACTCGCGTCGATGCACAGCAGCTCCCGAGAGGTCAGTTTCAACCTTTTAAATTGTCTACTTCCATCATGCCAATGAGTTTTGTTCACAGAGCGAAATAACCTCTGCCCATGTACTTCCTTTCCTGTTGAATGCAGAGTTGAAGTAGTCCGTGATCAGCAGGAGACGCAGTGAAGCTTATGGAGCTCAAGATGGACCAGAACACCATAGAAGAGCAGAACGTCCTTTGTTGTTGTTACTTATGACATGCAATTGTGTTCGAGTATTCCTGCAATATCATTATCCGATTATGAGAATCATTCGGGACGTCTGCGAATCGAGGTTCCGCTTCACGGACTGGACGGGTACCTCGCAGGCAGCAGCAGCAGCAGCAGCGTTGAGAGTACAGAACGGTGTCGCCATTCGATGCTCTCAGCAACGGTGATAGTAATGATAGGAAGAAGTTTGTTTAGATACGAAGAATTTTTTATTATAGGTTCTACCGGGATTTGAACCCAGATCGCCAGATTCAGAGTCTGGAGTGCTAACCGTTACACCATAGAACCAATGTTATAATTGTGTTTGAGCCGTGCTCACCGGAGGTTCTCATAGACAGCGTTATTTCCATAACGTCAAACTAGTCGTGCCTTCCTTACACGCTTTGTTGATTGGTCCTCAACGTGTAACTTCTTGGCTACGTTGGGAGAAGAGAAGCTAAAGTTGAGGTCCAACCTTTCTCGGCGTGCTATTCCCCACGAGTTCAAGCACGGTAGAAAGTGTTGGATGTGTTGTTACTTCCCGAGTTAGCTTCGGGTTGACAGAATAATCATGTATCAATAAGTATCAGGTGGTAATTCTGATATGCATTAGTGCCAAAAGTGAGGGGCTCTTATCATGGTGATGAAGGATGAGGAGAACCCAAGTTTCTCATGGTATTTCGCATTTGGTGGCGAAGCCTCAACTTGAAACACTTAGTCGTTTACGAAAAAGAACGTTTCATAATCGTTCACACTTACATGAAACAACCTTCACAAATGGTGCGGTATCATCAGCTTTACCGTCCCCAACGATCAGGAATTCGACTCTATCTTATGTTCTCTTTTACAACATATACCGGAATCAGCAATAAGCATGCTAGATTAGACCAACCGGGCTAGAGTCCTATCATTGAGCTTATGTTCACTTAAGGTACTCTACACATTGTAAATACGGGGAGCTAAATTCGGCAAGATGACTATATTGGCTCAATGTATCAATGATCAGTATTTTTAAGCCCTATGAAGACCCACAGATTCAAATGCCACGTGCACATGTACACGAAAATCACAAAATCGTGAGACTTCGATGTGATCCCAAGATGAGTCTCACCATCTTTCTAGCGTGGTATTTACCTCAACTGACTTATTCATCAAATCCACAAGAAATCAGGCTCTATCAGCAACATGCAACATTCATGAGAATAGCATGACAGAACAGCACGAAAATTGCCTCCACGACTAGACAGAAAACCAGTCAATGAGCAAACCCTACACCACCCGATACTAGGAACTCTACACTTTACATTGAACCCAGAAGCTATTTCAATGGTTTAGCCCTTCCAACAAAAGCGATGATGATTCTGCTATCAGCAAGTATTAGGGAACCTTTAGTATCCACTACTACTTACTGAGCGCCAATGAAACGATCAAGAGAACCCTTAGAGGAGAGCCACTGAGCGTGGACTCCCATGGGGATCAAACGGCCCATGGCCTTGTACTTCTGGTAGTCGTCCTTGGTGAACCGAGTGAAGCCCCAGTTGTGAGAAACATGAATCTTCTGACGACCAGGGATCTTGAACTTAGCACGCCTAAGAGCCTCAACGGCAATCTGCTCCTTGTCCAACCTAGTTCGGATGGAGATCAACACCTGGCCGATGTTGACACGAGCACAAGTACCATTGGGCTTGCCATAAGCACCACGCATACCAGTCTGGAGCCTAAACAAGAATAGTGAATTGACCACGACGAAGGACTTATATACTCTACCTATCAGCA